CGCAGAATGCCAGTATTGCACTCACATATGCCAACATTCTGCATCAATTCGCACAATGGAATCCCCCATCCGCAGACTACCTGGTACTTACTCCACCACACCCGATGGTCTATAAGACATGTATTTGGGGGCGCTCATTTGCAGTTGCAGTATGGCAATTCATGATAACATTAAAATTGCTCCCAACATATTCTTCCGCCATTCAGGGCGACCTAGTAATTGGTTGGTACGAATTCACAGGTTCCTTCCTGAGTCACACAGACATGGATCTGCCAATTCGACCTAGGCTACATCGAAGCACCTATGCAAGACACACGGATCCAATTAATAACAACCTAAAAAGCGAGCACTTCGACAGCAAGCAGAAACATTTCGACTGGTACTACAACATTTAGACCCCACGATATAAAAAGCAGGAGCTCGCAGTATGGCAGCATTAGGTTTCGACAGCACCATTAAAGCAGGTGTCTCAAGCCGACCTATTCTACCCAATGCCGCAAAAACAATGTCTCTAATTTCGCAGTTCCAGCTTGACCACAAACATGATCCACCATTTTCGACCGATTACCCAGTACTTCTTGCCAATCATAATCCGACCATTCACTGTTCTCGACTCCCAGAAGTCCGAGCAGGTGCAAAAAGCTACTAGTAGCTGCTGGCATCGCTACTCGGAACCCGGGCATCGCTACTAGGAACAAGAAGCTACTAGTAAGAGTATATATTATATTATATATAAATTAATCGCAAGATTCCGCAAGCCAAATGGTCTGGAAAGCCTCCCAGACTCCCAGACCCTAGCTATTCGTGCACGCACATTGACATACGAGTGGTCACAGAGCTTCAATTCGTAGATAATTCATTTACACACATGTCACACACGTGTACACACATGTCACACACGTGGATATACCGTGGACTTGTACAGCCACATTCACCGCATTGGCCATACTCCACTCACCCGAGGTCGAGGGCATGTTACATCACATTATCCCATCACCCCAAGTACCCCCAGTAACACATTGGAAGGGGCTTTCTGGGGAAGCGTGCGACAGACCGCCGTCCGCAAGTCGTGGTACCCCAGCAACTGGGTTTTGGTCTACCCTCTTCCGAAGGATTCTTGAGAGGTCCCCCAAAATTTAATACACACCCGTATGTCTAACCTTATTCGAGAATCATTTGCACTGCAAGGATCTTTAAGGTAAGTCTTTCTTGCTGCTTATCTCTCCAACCTCACTATACATCCATCCTCAGCAATCCCTGACTCCCAAAGAATAAACAAATTTTTCGATTCCGGCCTGACCGCCATCTCCACCCATTGCTCGGAATTGGCTCGGCAACAGAGTGGTGGACGTCTGTGGAGCTCGCAGCTGCGGATATGGTCCGCTCGGTCTCAAGCTCGGTCCGGTCGGCACGGTTAGTGTTCACAACCACCTCCTCGCTGACTGCTTGCATGCAGGGTGACAGGTGGTTGAAGAATGTCTAACTCTCAAAGGTGGTGAATGTTTAACTTGACAATAGAACTAATGAAGGACTGAGGAAGCTTCGAAGGACTTAGCTGCGTTCATCTTTTGGACCTCGAAGGCTCTACCCTGGAGCTCCAACCCCAAGCACGAAGTCTCTGAAACCCTTCGACGTGTGCCCAATGTCTCTGGTTTGCCAAGTGTCTTGGGGTGTTTTTCCTTTTTCACTTGAGTTCCAAACACCATTTAAAGCTTACATCTCCTACATACGGACCTTGAGTTCTGGGAAGGGACAAAAAGCTCTATCGCAAGCAACATTGGGCAACTCAAAGCCTGAAACTCGTGCGCGAATTACACCACTTGGATTTCTTGACATGACATCCGCCCCGCAGACAACTGTACAAACTCCTTTCCTCCTATCTGTGAAGGGGTGGTAGTTGGCAACAATCAAAAGAGTTGCACATGCTTTAACCGCATCTCAAGGCAAAATCCAAGAGCACAGCAATGGGTAAGACCTTCTCCTTGTACTGCGGACTTTCAAGGTCAAGCTGACTTTGTCTAGCCAAAGCAATTCAGCCTCTTTGAACCCTCACTGTCCCACAGCGCTGTAAGCATTCGATCATATGGTACAGCACTCAGTTCATCTCATTTCTAAACGAATGACTCTCCAACAGATTCATTATATAAATGCGAGCAAAACACAGATCTCGGTCTTTAGTTTAGATATGTATGAATGTTCCAGGATTCAAGAGGACCAAGTACGGTATTTTAATTTCGTTCTTTGCATCAACACGTGCGTTCTACAGCCATGAAATCTCAAGCAACCAATGATCTTAAAGTGCGTAACTTTGATCAGGGAGAAGTACAATAGGCTCGCCCACTGCTGCAATCCCCAGGCAATGCTGACGTCTGTCAACAATGCTGCCCAATTGGATTGACACCCCATTACAAAAATCCGGTCTAGAGTCTAGATAGCGAAGGTGGCGGGCAACTCGGCATGGTTCTGAAGAACCTTGAAAATCTTGGAAGTATTGTTGAACACTTCTCCTAGCCAGGAGAACAGTCATGACATGATATCTCACTACACACTCCCTCGGCTGTCATGGACTAGCACTACCTGAATTCGCAGTCTCGATACTCAGGATGGCCCGCGCCTTCAGTGAAACATTGCGACGCGAGAAAGGCCATCAGAGAAGCCTCCCAGGTTCGTAGAGAAAAACGGTGAAGAATCAATTGCGAAAACGCCAGGATTGGTCAAGTGGATGTGGGCAAGCTGCTCAACATATCTCAACACCACCTTCCGGGGCGAGGCAAGCAATGGAAGTATAGGCCCCAAGCAGTACAAAAAGGCCTCAACCAAAGGCCTTATCACCAAAACTTGCACCCTAGCTTAGTGATTGAGATGTTCTGAAAAAGGTACTCTGCAAATGCTTAACAACAGCAGCAACCCTGCAGCTTCCCCTCCCACACTCACACACAAATCACCCAAATATGCTAAATTCATCTAAACTCCTCGGATCGGATTCGTTCAGAACTGTCTGGGGCTCGTTGGAGTCTTGCACGTGTTCCTAGGTCCTAGGTCGCGAAGAATGACACGATCGCCGCAAACTTCCTGTGCCCCGGGCTAAAGTGGCTAAAGCTATTCCATCCTTTTTCCCTTCAGACGTGCTGAAGCTATTCCCTCTTGAAAAATAACTCACTCGCTTGTTTTCAGAGAGAGAGAGAGAGAGATGAGAGGGAGAGAGAGAGAGAGAGAGCAAGAGCAGGCATACCGCCTCAAAGATAGTCTGACCAGCAGAAAAAAAGATGGTCATGTGGAGGGAAGACCCGTCTGCTGTTCCAAAAAGTTTGGGCCAAAAGCCACCACACATCTTAGACTTGTGATCGGCATCGGCTGAGGTGCTTGGCCAGGGTTTGTCCAAATCGGATTTTCTTCGCTGTGTTCGCAAACACATGCAAAAACTAAGCATTCGCACCTTATGAATGCTTCAACCTCGATTCAACCTCTGAGACAAGTTGATTAAAAAGACTGATCTAAAAGCGATGGCCTCCAACCTACTAGCGATGGCCTCCGACCTAGAAGCAATGGCCTCCAACCTAGAAGCAATGGTCTCCAACCTAATAGCAAAAAAATGTATACCATGCGGACAAACTGACAAAGCAACCAAGTGCTTGGCGATCCTCCTATCGTCAAGTACTGTCGCATGCGAGAGCAAAGCTTGCACACCAAACCACAGCAACTTCAAATCAAACCGAGTCCAATGTTTGCACTCCGAACCTTTGTTTTGCCCATAAATACCTGCTGCAAATGTTGGGAAAGCCATGTGAGCCAGCCTTGCAATATCTTGCAATGAATTCCTGCACATGTCGACCTCCAATCACTACCAGGTCAATTTTGCGAACAGCAACGGGAAGCACGGGAATACTTTAGACGTTTAGCTCTTCAATTAAAGCGAAAAGGCCTACCTTGGCAAACGAGGGTAGGCTACATAGGGATGGAAGATGCCAACGTCTATTGTACCCACGGCAAGCACTGCCCGAAGCTGCTTCTAATCCAAAAGTGCGAGCCAATGTCACTGCGCTTGGTCGCCTGGTCTATTCCTGCAAATGCCGACGCACGTGCGTTCCTTTGCAGAACCCGACCGCGCAGGACCATCTGCTATCGCTGTCGTGCGGTCAGCCGTTAGGAGGTACAGCGTCGTGGCTTCGTTCGCCAAAGAACGAAGCTCGCTGTCGATACACATCGTTGGTTAAGCATGCATTCGGGTGATCAACCGTTTGGTAATAACATGATTACTGTATATATTATATATGTAATTCTGACTCAATCATGGCAGGTTCCTCAAAAGGTTCTTGGTTCAACACAACGGAAAAGGTGTGTACTTCTTCCGGCCAAACATGATTCCCGGTCGGACGGTTTCCACCGTCTACTGTGTCCTCGAGCACCTGGCCGGGCACTACGGAGACCATGCTGCCATAGCTGTTGCGCTCGTAGACCGACTTCTCCATGCGAGCCCTGAAGGAAGCCGGGCAACGGCTACGCGATAGGAATGGATGGGAATGCAAAAGATGCGTGGGAGTCTTTTTGGGAGGTTAGCTGTTACCTATTACCTATATATAGTGATTTTGCGAAACATTGACGCACCCGAAGGGATGCCAATTGCATAGCAACACCCCTACAGAAATGGCATGAGGTGTGCCGCTTGCAAGTTTTCTGTAGTACAGCAAAGTACAGCTGAATCCCGAAGTGGAATAAAGTGAAGCCACCCACACATTGGCAACTGTTTCAACATAATACGGGTGGGCTAGTAGGTGATCTGTGCCCAAGACCCACACTTGCAAAGCCGAGTCAATCCTCCCAGTTACATGCTGTTTTGTACTTGTGGAACATGATATAGAACATGCCTCCAAACTACATCCTGAGCAGGTCCTGGAGGTGGCTCTTTATGAAATGATAGGTGGTTCATGTGGAATGAGTTTGGCAGCTCTGGCACTGATCAGCTACTGAGCTTCCGCGCATCTCATACAATATCCCTAAGATATGAATCAAAGGTGTTGTCTTCTTTCCAGTCTACAAATTCCACCGCCCCCGGTGACGAAACAGACCTCTAGAAAAAGGAACCCGTGTCGCGACTGTTCGGTCACCGAGAGGCTTCATGAACTCCAGGTCCGTTGCGCCGATGAGGTCCGCAGAGCTGGCCAAATGGGCCACCTTGAGTCGGACAGCGAAGGTGGTGGCACTGTTTTCGTTCATTTTTATTAGAGCTTGCCCTGGCTTAAATAAGTAGGCGCTTACTTCATTAAGTAAGGACAATGCTAAGTGATTGTTTAGAAGTTTACAATCGGATAGTATCTCTGATGAGGTGTTCAACGTGGCCACAGGGATGATTGTTCTGCTTGGTTCCCTGCGGCTAGCGCTGCAACTGGTAATTCAAACGTGCTATTACAATATTGGTTCTGTCGGATGTCAACTGTCCATTGCTAGATCATCAGGTAAAAAGGTATACTCATTGAGGACCCCACTCCTTAATTAGAATGCAGCGCTGATTGCCCAACAGGCCCAATGATATCCCCTTAGATTCACTTTCTCTCAGCAATGGGGCCCCACAAATGAAGGAAACAGAACATGGCCAGCGCTGTCATCTTAATGTGATTATTCCAGTGTTGCCCCACCGTGTGACACAACGGAAGCGCAGGCGGAGGTGACAAAGCATACCCCCCTTTCACTTGTCAAGTCTCTGGTCTCCTCTCTTCGAGCAAAATCGTCCTGCAGCTGGAGAGGTGCGTTGTGCAGGCTGAACACCCAGCAGGCTTTGAAGGAAAGTGCAATCAAACACGCAGAAACTCAGGGTGTATTGATGCCAGGATATCTTCAAGAAGAGTCCTAGTACATTTCAAGTCAAGATTCTCTCGAGCTCTTAAATACAGGATTCTTCAGAGCAGTGAAAGTCACTGATGCAATCTCTCAGCATCCAACAGCTGCTACATGATGAGCAGCAATACCTGCGCTGCCTCACCTTCAGAATGCATCCAAGCAACACAAGGGCTTTGTTGAACTTCTGCTGGACTAAATCCTGGAGAAAGTCCAAGTTGTTTGGATTGGTGAGGCTGCACTTGGCACACCATGTGTGGTATGCGGTATGCAATACTGCTAGGTAAATGAAAAAGAGTAAAAACATCGGCATTGTCACCGTCTTACTGCGTTGGCCGATCTGTTCTGTACTTTCGACATTCATCAACATTCTAAGTATCGAGCTTTGAGTCAAACACCCAGGAAACACAAATGGCCCTTTTGTTGATCCGCCCAAATCCCACGCCAATGAGCTGCAAAACCCACCTTGTCGAAGCCAAAGCCGGAGTCGTGGAAGGGGTTATCCAATTCGGCCGTCAGCTGCATGAGGCCGAACATAATGAAGACCTACAGGCCCGAGCCAGGTTGGCTAAGAGTTCAATTTGCGTGAATATCCATGTTCAAGCTGTTTGATTGTGCTGCTGTGCTGAATTGCTGTATTTGTATTAGATTATAATTATATTTGTTGGATGTCAGCCAACGCCAAATAGTCTAGCCTTCCAAGGTGGGAAGAGAGAACAATCAAGGTGTGCTTTGCCATGATTTTGGTTACAGTAGCCCATAGGCTTGTCAAATGAAATCCACTAGTAGTTCTGTCCAACATCTCTTGACTCGACCCTCGAGCCCGTCGTTTTTTTTCACCAAATCCAGGCGACCAAGACAAAGCTAAAGAAGCCACTGAAGAGCACCGTCTTGGCCCAAGCGATCACAGCCACAGGTGTTAACATCATATGGACCACCAGCATGGCCTCACAGAGTCTCGCGAAGAGTCACAGAGTCACAGCTCACCATCGGTCGCGCTTTTTGGTCCAGTCCAGTTTGGTGGAAAAAGGACTCTCGCGCGGCACATGGTAGCATTAAAAGAAATGCGAGAAAGGTATGGGATTTCTTGGATCGAACGTGAGATGTGCAATCATTCAATGGCATTCGATGTGCATGTCTCACGGTCAAACTGTTGGTATCAAGTATATGGAAAGGTCTCTCATGTCCACTGAATTCTTTCCTGGATATATATATATATAGAGAGAGAGAGAGATTCATCTGAGGGGATCTTTGGGACGACGCAGCCTTCATTCCAAGGTTGTAAGGCGCTGGGAAGTCCACATAGGCCAGCTTCCTCGGTAGGAGCTTCCACTCCAAAGAGTACACTCATGTAACATGTATATAAACTCAACCTCTTCCACAGCACCGGCAATGGCAGCATCACACCCGACTCGACTTCCCGACTTCCTGCACCTGGCGACTCGTCGCCCGCGGCCCAAACTGGTCGACTCCACTCGGACCGTTTCTCGCTGGGTACCGTTTCCAGCACGGCACCCGCGCCGAGATACGGCACCCTGGTCGCTGTGGTTTCCCGGTCGCTCCACCGAGCATCATGGCGGATTGGAGCTTGGTCATTCCGAGGCCCATCTCTTGATGGATTCGTCCCACGATGGGCGCCGGCGAGGCGATGATCCCGAAGGCCTGGGCTTCCACGATGACCTTGCTGATGGCTTGGAAGACCTGGGACCGATCAAATCAGACAGGGACAGAGTGAGCAATGGTCAGAATGTCGGTCTTGTTGTTTGTAATTTCTTATAGTTTCTTCCTCTGTTCCAAAGACTTCATAAGACTTCCACGGCATGTGACTGCGGCCAAAAGCATCAAGCGTTAGCTGTTTTCTGGTGCAAATCATGCCAGTGGCACCTGCTCTGGTCGGCTGTGGGACTTCATGTTCAGCAAATGCGCACGAGTTTGCAGGTCGATGCCGCCAGGATCCAAGACCGGGAACTTCAGGCCACTCTCGGCACGGACCTCCCGTCCGTCCAAAAAGGGGCCTCCTAATGTTAAGGTGTTGAGAAAAATTGAAGAGTGGTTGAAGAGTTGAAACAAACCCCATCAAACCCTGCAAGTTCCATCAATGGCCCTTTCTAAAGCCGACGAAGCGTCCGTCCTTTCAGGGCCCCGTCCATGCCTCGTCCCTTCGTACGGTACTTCATGGTACAACATGTTGCAACGCTCTTCGCCCATCGTTGGAGGCCTCTTCGCCCTCCAGTTCTCGAAGCAACAAGCAATTCAACAAGCTGAAGAGTCGCACGCAGAGCCGCCGTAAATTCTCGATCTCCTCCGCCTAGAGATGCGAGGATGTAGAATGAGGCTGAACAAGGCATGACAGCACCCAATCGCAAACCAGGACCACTCTGGACAATAATGAAGTGGCTCATATATACTGGAGATTTGGAGGCCATCGCTAGTAGGTTGGAGGCCATGGCAAGTAGGTTGATTGTTTTATGATGTTTTATGTTCTTTTCATCTCTGACGAGTGACGGCAGAGTGGTCCAGTTTCGGTTGTTCAAACAGGCCTAACCAATCCATGCTTGTCTGCTCAGCTTGGACTTCAACTGCGACCAGTATGGCCACTGGGTTGCACCACATCTGAGACAATGCGTGAGATCATGTCAGATCCAACAGCTGTGGTGTTTTTGCTTGTACATGGAAAGCATTGGACAGCTACGTTCCATAGAGTTTCGTGCTGTGGGATGCTCGTGCAGTTGGCTGCTTGGAATGCTCCCGTAAACATTTGCACTTGACGAAAGAAAAGGCTGCTCCCAGGATTGACCTGTCCTTACTCGAATGGAGAGCCGTTTCCAGTTCCTTTACCCTTGAAGCTTGAACAAAACCTTTGCCCCGTCCTTCCAAGCAATGTCTTAAGGCACTCGGAAAAAAATATTATATGTGTCATCCAGTGCCCAACCTTGCATCTTGAACAATTCGACAACCTCTCTAACCTTGCATGTTCAGCATCACCAAAGCATCTGAGACCTTTCCAAAATAAGTATTAGCCCACCGGCTAAAGAACAACTGGAAAAAGTTCAAGAGACCATGGTCAGCATTCCCTGCCCCCCCAATTCTGCGCTGCCTTGGCTGTGCTGCAGCGGCTAAAGGCCAAGGTATTGCTGGCAGCATTGAACCAATGCCCCATGATCTGGTAAACCATGTCGATCCCTTCCTGAAGGCCAACAAAACAGGACTGTGGCGCTAGATCATCTGCTTGGAGAGCCATCAGTTCAGTACCATTAGGAGAAGATCTGTTGCCTCCCTTCCATTCACCGCGCTGAGTTGGACTTCCTACCTTAAGACCAAAAATTGGCGCTCGCGCTAGCTTTTTCATCATCACATCGTGCCAATCGCTGTGATCCTCCACCACTCGGTGTCATGTACCTCGATTTCCTTCCTGTTAGATCTCAACAGGCTTGATTGTCCTCTGCAACAATGGCACAACATGTTCACTTAACTTTGATGTGATGGTCTTCTGGCCTTCCAGAGCATCACTAAAGCTTCCCTGCGCAAGTCTACACTATAGTTTTCATGGTCCCTTCCCTTCGAATTGTACTCTCCCTGCGTCCCTGCGTGGCTTCAAGCTTCCCCTTTACTCCAAAGGTTCTTGATCAACGGATATCAAAGACATCAGAACATTCAAGCTCAAAACGACCAAAGAGTGGGGCTTCGTCATAATTTCACCGCCCGAGATCTGAGCAACGATGCGGCGCGATGCGGCACGATGCGGCTGAGGCTCCCAGTAACGGCTGTAGGACTGAGCTGTGCGGAAGACCATCATGAAGCTCATACAAGTGCCAAAGGACCCGTAGGCCCCGCTGTCGAAGAAAAGGTTTTCCTGGATCTGGAGTCTTGAGAAAACTGGGAGTTGGTGTGATCATCTTTGACGCCACACCCACAGAACAATCTGAATCTGGAGTCCATAAGCTTTGGTATCTCATGGCACCTTTCACTGGAACATACTGGAAGATACGGGAAGGGGATGTTCCCAACTACGCATCATTTTTGTGGAACAAGAAGCTACTAGGAGCAAAGGGCATCGCTACTAGGAGCAAGGAGGCTTGCTCCTCCAGGCCTTAGAGTTTTCGCTTTGTTTGGTGCTTCGGTTGTTCGTATTCGGTTCTGAACATCATCGGGTCAGCGGAACACCGAGCCACATCAATCTTTCCTTCGCTTTCGGCACTCATGTCCTCCTCACTCAGTCTGGACGTTTGAAAAAGGAAAAAACATGACACAACCGTGGTCTATAGAGATGATCCATGGCTCGGCCCAGCTTTTTTCTGTTTTGTTTTCACCCCGCTCTGGAGGAATCTGCCCAGAGTCTTCGATCCAATTCTCATCGTCGATGTAGGTCTGAAAGCCCTTCAACGTCGCAGCCACAGCACCCGACAACAATCCGGCAAGCAAAGGAAAGGCCACCTGGGCAAGCAAGGGCCCCACAGAACCAGTTCCAAGCGAAATCATAAATAAAGCACTGTGGGCACAGTAGCTTCATGCAAGATTCCAAAAAGAGATTGGAAGCCAACGTAATTAAGCAAAGTATTCTAGCAAATGACTGTCTTGTTCTCGGCCCTAAATCTTCCTTCTCCCCTTGCTGGGTTCACTTGATAAGTGTCACAAATCTACAGTAGGTTAAACGTCTGCAAGCATTTTTGCCATAGACTCATGACTCAAGTCGATGTTTTGCCAATTGTCCATGTCACGTCGTGTGAAGAAGGATGAAAAAGGTTACCTGCTCAAATTCTCAAACGTGCAAGTTTAAGCAAAATCTTCGCATTGCTGCTACAAACAAACAGCGACTGAAAGCCAGTCCCGAAAACGATGCTTGGGAATCATTCTGAACATGTCTAGAACAAAAAACAAAACAGTCCTGTGCAACAGGTAATATATAATGGTATGGTAATATAATCATTCTGAAACTTCCAACGGGTACTACAAAAAAGAATCAAAAAAAACCCTCAGAGCTCGAATAACTTCTGTGTGAATGGTGCTTAAGAGACTAGTCTAGATCAAAACCTTAGGTGAGTGGATGTGTATAACGAGGGCCAAGGCAGCCAAGACCAAAACGTTTGTCACAAGCGATTTGTGGTTGGAGCCCTTAGGAAGGGTGCCCAAAGTCTTTGAGACCACCATCGCCCTTTCAAGTCTCCTCCCCCAGCCGAATGCACTCCACCACCGGCCCCACCACCAGCCCCGTCAACCCCCAGACATTCCAACCTCCACTCCGCCTCCGCCGCTCCGCGCGGGCCCCCGCCTTTCGGCAGATCTTGTGACGGTTCATCTTAGCTCCGCGTGCAGTGACCCCGGTGGCCGTGAAGATCGAGTGGATGGCCGTAGTGATTCGGCCCATGGCGCGCTGGGGGGGGTTTGCAAAGGCCGCTTGTTAGTAGGTGCTTTTCTCAGTAAGGGCCGGGAGGGGAATGTATGCTGGTCGTTAAGTCAAAAGAAGCACACAACATGTCAAACACATGAAAAGGTCTCTGCGTTCCAGGCAAGAAACTTTGTCCAGTGGCAATACGGGTGATGAATATGTTTGGTACGAGGCAGCCTAGTTCTCAACGAGCTTCGATAGGTAGTTTCGACACTTTGTGTCTTTGGATGTGTTTGGAGTCTGCATGGTCTTTCCGTGTCAAGTGTGATGATACTGCCATTGATTTTGCCTCGAAAGCTTGAGAAGGAAAGCTGGCAGCCAGTTGGAACAAGCCACTAGTCACCAACGTTTGAAACAGCACAATAGAGCCAAGGAGACTTGGAACTTGTTTCATGATTGTATCAAGCATACCAGTGTGTCAATTCTGCCATTCTGCTAACTTCCTCAAGCACGCCACAACTCTTGCCTCAACAGCAAGCTGCAACCGAGCCCATCAAAATGGACCTTAGGGCAAAAAGCAAAAATAACACAAGTGTCTTGCAATGCATTGCAGTTCTTCATGCGAGTGTTCATCTTGTTCATCTTGAGCAGGACCTCACTCCCAACTCTCTTGGGCTGAAGTGTCTTCGCTTGGCTGGGCATGTCTCATCAATCTTCAAGGCATTTAGTAACAAGAAGCTACTAGGGGCTCCTGGCATCGCTACTAGGAGCAAGGACGCTAGTAGGGGCTCCTGGCCGTACTACTAGGAACAAGACATCTGAGCATTTGTCATGGCTCGGTCGCTCTGTTTCATCCGGTCGATGATCTTGGTCGCCCCAGCCGCTTTTTGGGGCCGGTCCTCTTTGGCCGACCAAAGGAGAGGTCCTCCTGAGATGTCACCTGCGATGATCCCAAGCTAGTGCTTTGTTGCATACTCGCTGCAGGGGAAGTCCCTTGTGGTGACTCCCCCCTTCCCCATCCCCCCCAAAAATACTTCAATAGGTAAATCTCCCCCACCCAAATGCGGGAAGTTCTTTCTATCCATTTGGTGACCACTATAATACATTTTATAATACTCAAAAAAGCGTGCTACAGCACAAGCGTTGTGTCTGTTTCTGCTTCCTTTGCGGCCTCCTGGCTCAGCGTCACAGCCTCACGCGAGGAAGACTCGACCGAGTCAACTGTAGGTGGGTTTCATCTGAATCCAACAAGTTCCCTGTGGCCTGTGGCAACCAGCCTTGGAAGAATCAGCGTAGTAATCATTCAGTCAATTCACAAGAAGGCAGCAGGCAGCAACCAATCCTCTGAAGTACCTTCAATCTGAACATGAAGTTGATTTAATTGGCGGGAATATTTTGTTACCAGTAGAAGCAGCCGCCGGGTCACAACTTCACCCCATTCTGCCCCACAGCACATGCTGCGGTCTGCCCTCCCCGCAGAATCCGCTCCTGCATATTGCGCTTGTGACGCAGCCAGGCTCGCTCGCGCAAGGCGCGGGCGTTACCCTGTCGAGTCACACTTGCTCAGTTTCTGTGCATGTTTACAGAGATGAGATCCAAACCTTACCAAACCTCTGTTGGGCCGGAAAAAAGGGCTGGGCCGTCGCGTTGGATCGAAGCTGTCGATGGTTTTCTTCGCTGTCCGTGTCTTCTCGCCTTCATCTCTTCATCCTTCCAGGTTTCGAGGAGTCCGAAGGTTTCGAAACTTTTTGGTCTCAAGAAAGGTGTGCTCATTCCTAAAACACTTAAGCAGTACAAATTGCTGCATCTAGACTCCAGACCAAGACCTGGCTCTTCCTTACAGGGTCTTTTCTGATGCTTCCGTTAGGTCTGTTATTTGCTACGAGTAGCTCCTTCCTATTCTTTTTTATTTGTTTCTAATAGCGATGGCCTCCAACCTACTAGCGATGGCCTCCAACTCTTAGGTCAGGTGCTTCACTTCTTGGTTGGTCGTCACGCCAAACCCTTGCAGCGCTCCTCGCTGCTGGGCACCTCTGGCTCCTGAGCGACAGGTTGGTTGGTTTGAACAGGCATCGTCACCGTCACCCTCGTCCGAATCGATGTGCGTGAAACAACCAACCAACCAACCAAGCAAGCAAGCAAGCAAGCAAACAAAAGAACCACACATAACATAACATACCAAGCAAAGAAAGCAATATGCAACGACTGACTTAAGAAAACCTCTGGCACCTACACCAGAACGGAACTCTTGGTACTTGTGAATCAGTTTTAATCAGAGCTGAGGCTTCCCAGCTGATGTGTACAATTATGTACCCGCCCCTATCTTGAGGGATCACCCTTACCCATCACGTTCCAAAGAAAGCACACTTTGCTGAGTTGGAGCAGTGCATCACAAAAACGCTCACCACTTGGTGTGATCACGGGTGCCTCCTCCATGGGTGCTGGTGCCTCCGCTACCACCTGTGGCAGTCCAAAGGGGCCAGCAATGGCCACACCCATCAACGAAGAGAGCCGAGAGGCAAGAAAATGCAAGTAGAAGCAGTATGAAGCAATACTGGATCATGGGGCACGGATGGCAAACGGTGTCTGCAAAGTGTGGGAATGGGTTTGCATGGGAAGACTGGCCTTCAGACAACTGATCGTCAGCTTGCGAATTGACCACTCTCATCCCGTCCAATTATCTATATAAGCCTAGCTATATACTACTCTGACACCGAAGTCGGATGTATCACAAACCTCTTCAGTCTGCATGGCCGGCTCTTCAGCAACTGCAGGGGCCGTGTTGCAGGCTTCTTGCAACGCGCTGGCATCAATGTCGAAGGGGAGGGTGGGGCTGATGTCGCAGCCTGCAAGGCAGACTTGGAGCAACCTTTGCAAAAATGGCCACCGCGGCATGCTGTGGCACGCCAGGGGGCCAGTGCAACAAGAAACAGGATCAAAACCAAAGCACGGTTATCCAAGCGAATGCACTTTCTTGAGCAACCTCAAAGTCCTGTTTAGCAATGCAATAGCAGCAAGGACGAAGGCATTGTGAACCTTGTTGGAACATGTTGGAGCCTGGAACATGGCACTGATCCGGGTTATTTGGCTATGTCTCCATGTTTCAATGTGAGCCGATCCTCACACCCACGTGATTAGTGATTAGTCAATCATAGTCATAGTTTACTTGTTCTTCATCATCCATCCACAAGAAAGAGAAGTCGATGTACCTTCCGGGAGTCTCAAAGGGGTGGTGTTTACTTCCTAAGTGGATGGATAGTGGACCCCTATCCTCCAATGGTGACCCCTTGTGACTCCTGGTTCAGGATCCTTTGCTATTAGTAACGAGTGCATCGCTACTATGCCCTTGCTACTAGTAGCGATGCCCTTGTTACTAGTAGCTTCAGGAGCCCCTAGTAGCGTCCTTGCTCCCAGTAGCGATGCACTTGTTACTATTCATTCCAAACATCCACAGCTTCAACTCCGATGGAATTGGGCCCCGCGGCTCGTGGGCCCCACCTGGATCTGGATCTTTGGGCCTTGGCATGGTCGACCGAGCCTTTTTCTCCACATCCGAGCTACACGGCCATTGACCAGCTCATTCAAACTCAACATGCACGTTATCGCACTCTGTTTTCACCAACCACCTGACATGATCGACATCGCGCTCCGCTGGACATGCTCCTCATCTCCGGCCGAGGTGCTCCTCATCTCTCGGACCTGGCGCACCAGTCAAACGCTCGGCGAAAAGCGGCGCGGCAACCTTGGCAAAGTCTGAAGAAACAAGAACGAAATATCTAGAGAACAAAACATGGTTCAAAGTTTAAAGCTCTAAAGAAGAAACATATACAGTATAGCTCACTTCGTTCAGTGTGACTGCCATACAGCCGACATGTCAGCCTTCCACAGGCTCAAAAGGCAAGGTGGGGCTGATCTCCAAGGCAAAGGGAGGCGCCTCATCAACGCCTGACCATCAGCGCAATTTCATACGGAGTCTTTCCTAAAGAAGTCCCAAAGATCTTCGCATTTAACCGAAGCTATCCGTTCAGTGAAGCCAGAGGTCTTCATGTAGTCGTGTTCAAAGTTGAAGGTTTGCTGTTGATTAAGATTAAGGTTGTCTTCGTCTTCAACACACCAGCTTGCCTTTCTGAACACTGAGAGGCTCCAGAGCATCTTGATGTCCTGTTGATGTTTGGTTTGACTGCTAATCTAATTGAACCACAACATGTTTTAGAAACTACACACGGTCATTGTTGACATCAAGGGTTTGACGCCTGAAACCGTGCTGGAAAGCACTTGATAGGTCCCAGTCTGAAACCTGTGACTTCTCAGAAGCGCATGAATTTGAACTTTTGGGTGGGTGGTGATTAGCCACTGGCTGGAAGCTGAATTCTTTATCCCCGCTTTCTTTGGATTCCCTAGTCCCTCCTCCATCCTCTTCATGCATGTGGGGCTTCTGTTAGGCAGCTTCATCGCTCCTTTTCACTCATCGCTGAGCCACTGTGTTGCGGAGTCACACTGATAAGAACAGATACTGCTCTTACATCTTTACATGTATGTGTGCTCATGTACACTTCTTAAATATTCAACACCCTGCCTTGCGTGAGTTCTGTTTTCGAACTCTAAGCACGCTATTGCTCCAGCTCTTCGGCTGTAAAGATCAGGTGATCTCTGTCTTCATCTCGGTTGCGCCATGCTTCCACAATTGCGTCCCAAGTCTGGTCGTACTCTCCATTCACCAAATCTCTGAACATCTTGTGGTAGTTGCGGTCATAGATGTCATACATCAGGGCATAGTCGAACTGTAGCCCTGGTTCCTCTGGGTTGTGCTTTGCTGCTAAAAGCTGCAGGAACTGCTTGCACAAATACTCCGGGAAAAAGCCAGCCTCGTAGATCCTTTCAACTCGGATCTTCTCGATTGCCGGGATGAGGGTGTACAAGTACCCCCAATCCTCAAACCTGTTTGGAACTGGGTCAACAGGTTCTTCTTGCGGTTCTGGGCTGCTGCTTCTCCTTGCCGGTCGATCTTCTGGATCGCTGTCGATCATTCCACTTTCTATCTCTGAGCTTGTAGGCCTGTAGCGGCGCACATAGCTGCTTCCATCTCTTGTCCTCTGGAAGTAGCTTTCTCCACTTGAAGCGTCACTGGAATTCTCGAGGATCCTGTAATTCACCATTCGTGCTTGAGTAGGAGACCAATCATAGATTGTGTTCTGCTCCTCCTCTTCAGTCCTCATGTGCACGTCACTATCTTCATCCACTTCTTGTTGTCCATGTTCTGGTCCATGCCTTTCTCGCACGCGTCTTTCGCTTCGGGCTATCAAGAAGCGGTCGTAGGCTGCTTGAACTCTGTTGACTCGAAGGGGTTCAAGCTGCGGTGGTTGAACTTGGTCATCACTCACATGTCCTCTGTAAATCTCCAGCATCTGTGTTGTCTGCCGGACATAGTCTCTTGCATGTAGTTCTGCTAGAGCTCTGCGGTGCATGTCACGTCTTTTCCTCTGCATCTCATCATGAAGTTCTTTCAACTTGTTCCACCCTGTGATCATGCGCTCTTTCAAAAGTGTTCCAGCAAGTACTCCTCCAAGGAGAAAAATGAAGTTCCAGAAAATGAAACCACGTAGAGTGAACTTGTAGTCCATCTCCCACCAACCAAGCCATGTCATTGCTTCTTGTTGGATCTCGTTCTCCACGGTGTTGGTCATCTCACTTGTACCAAGAGTCTCGACACACATACTCAATAGTGTCACTGCTTTCACCATTTGGCGGGGAACAGGTGTTGGGCTTACACCATCCACAAAGTTTTGTAGAAGTGTTCTTCTCACCTGCTTCATCCTCTGAGCTGTTGCCTTCTTGCGAAGAAACTCATTGAACTCTTCTTCTCCAACCGTCACATAGCCTCCATTGTTCTCATCCTCCTCCACAAAACCGAGAAGGTACATCAGGAAGTTGCGCCGGTTTCTTGTCAGCTTCTTCGTGTTGAGGTCTGCCACATTCAGAAGGGTTCCCACTCCTGTGATAGAGAGGGTTTCTTTCTTCACCTCCTCCTGAATCCAAAGCAGTTTCGTCTCGATGTGCTTCATGCGCCCCACACCGAGGCGTTGCACAAATTGTCGACATGAAGACGAATCTGTCACTGCCACCACCTTGCATGTCTCTTGACATAGGAACCTCCAAACCTCTGCAAGATGAAGTGCTTCTGCCACTCCTCCAACACATGCTGTAAGCTCTGCCTCACAACTAGAAAGACAAATTGACTTTTGCGCCCTGCTCCAAGATTGCACCAATCCTTTGTCCACAAAGATCATCACTGAAGACGTTGAGTGCCTCTTGTGTCTTTCTGAACTGCGGTCACCTGCCCAATCACTGTCTGTGAAGCATTCCAGCACATGTCCATCTTCGACTTCATTGTGCTTGTCGTAGAGTTCATTCAGCTTGCTGAAGTCCTTTCTCACATACGGCAAAAGAATGCCATAAGATTCTGTGCCTTTCAGGTATAGGATCAGGTGCTGAATCCCCTTGACTGCCTCCTTCGTTGGATTGCTCATGAACTGAGCCAAATTTCTCACTGAATTCTGGACATCTGGGCGATCTTGGGATAAGTAAAGAAGTGTTCCCAAGGCGCTTCTAAACCTCTTCTTCTCTGCCTGGTCGACGGCTTCACCTTCAAGACGATCTATTGCGATGTCAGGCGTTGCACGTTCCTTTCTTTCTCCAAGTCCATACAACTGCACCAAAGCTGGAATATATCTCTCATGAGGTTTCACTATCACACCTTGCTCACAAAAGTAGTAGCGCTTCTTCAAGAATCTCACCGGATCCTTTGGGCTTTGATCCTGCGGAAGAAGTTCGCCTCCGCTCATGGTGAAGATCTTCTTCAACTCCTCATTGGCCCATCTGAGCGCTTCTTCTGTTCCAGCTAGCACCATGTCATCAACGTGCGCCAGCACCACCACGTTCTTCGTCATGTGGCGGAACATCGCCGGAAGGCATGCCAGGCTTTCAAATCCCAATTGCAAAAGATGGGATGTCAGGAAGTCAAACCATCTTGCTGCTGCATTCCGCTGTCCTGGAAGACATCTCCTCAAGCTCCAATATTGAGAGGTAGCTTGGGTCCACCATGTAGGTACCTGTACCAGGATCATCTCTTGCTGCGGAACCAACAAAAATGCGTCCTTCACGTCCAGAAAACATAGGAACCACCTCCTCACACAATGCAAAAGAACCATAAGCCTTGTTGCTGCATTGTGGCTAGTGGGTGCAAATGTCCCATAGTTCCCCTTGTCACCAGCTTTGAACTCTCTTGCCACATAGCGGCATCGTCGTCGCCATTGACCATCACGAAATCTCCAATCAAACACGCTTCTCGTTGAAAGGAGTTTGCCATGTTCCTCCTCTTCTGGTGTAGGGTTCTCCATGACTCCCATTGCTAAGAGTCTTGTGATCTCGATGATCCCTGCCTCAGCTTCTACCTTCTCGAGTTCTTCTGCTGAAAGGTCAGGCGGCTGCCCTTTGTCCATCGGCTCCTCCATGTCCTCGTACTCCTCGTTCTCGAAGTCTTCAAGAGCCATCTCTTCGCCATCAAGGTCATCATAGAGATCTTGCTCCCACTGGTAGTCATTGACCACTCGGTTGATGCTCCCAGCAAAATGCGGGGGAAACATCCGAGCTGTAGGACTTGAGCTTGGACTTGTTCTTGCTGCCTTCTGTTTTGGTTCCTTTGCCTCTGTATCATCCTCTATTGTTGCATCCTCTGCTGAAGGTAAAGTTGGTGTCGTTGGAATCTGAAGCCCTGCCTCGCCAAAGTTGGGTGCTTCCTCCTGCATGGAAGTTGAGGTTTGTTGACTTTCTGCTCCAGGTTGGCCTGTCTGGGCTGTCTCCATCAAATTTGGTTCTTCTTCACTGTCGGCATTGTCTAGTGCATAGCGCTCCACATCCTCTGCATCTTTGTCCTTGGGCTTCTCCACGGGTTTTGGTTCAGCTGCAAATCCAGGAACAATTCTGGGTGCACGTTTCTGTACATCTGCCAGCTTGTAGGGCAAATCCTTCACCATCCATGTGTAGATTGAATCCCATGGCTTTGCTGTTCGTCTGATTGCCCTTGACTTCACCAAACCGCTGGGTGTAGAGACCACATGAAGGTCATCACTGCCATCTGTTGTTTTACCCAGCCATATTCCTGGAAACCACTGAGGTCCATGCTTGTGTCCACTCTTGTTGAGGACGAGCACTTTCTCACCAAATCCCACAAGCCGTCCTGAGTAGCGGCGACCATTCACCAATTCAAAGGGTGAACATGTCACTGTGCTGTGGCAATGAAATCGATTCAAAAGCCATGCCGCATGGATGTAGGCCCATGAAACCAAAGGATGCTGAACTCCGTAGTTCATCTGACAATGCTCTTCCAACTGGTGCATGACTGTAGATGCCTGTCTCCTTAGAGTTTGTATTGCCCGCTCAACTTGGCCTGTGCGACCTTTGCTGTAGGGCTTTGCGAAGGTCAAAGTCGTTGCAAACCCAAGACTTTGTCTGACGGTCCTCACTGCCTCCATCACGGACTTCAACACTGGTTCATTGTCACTCACCAGCTCCATCAAGTCGTAGTAGTTCAGGTAGAGGCTAAAGCGAACAATCTGTTCTGCCTGGTACTTGAGCGTTCTTGCTTTGGAAGGAATTGGAATAGCCAGCAAGTTCTTCGTGCCAGTGTCAAGAACCACCATCACCGTTGTTCCTTGCTCTCGGGACTGTTCCTTCACATAGCAATAATCCACCTCCAAACTTGGAATCCTCCTTCTGGGCTCCTCATCCAACAACCTCTGTTTGTCCTCCTTTGACTTGCATGCCACACAATGGGGACACCACGGTCGAAATGGTAAATGAGTCAGCTGATGTAGCTGTACCTCTTCTTCTGTTGGCTGTCGCGGCAAGGGAAGGGAGTGAAGTCCTTGAGGTCGTGCTTCTTCAAGGTATAGTTTGTTAGCCACTTCAAATGCCTCAATGGCCTCTTGCAACTGAATCTTCTCATTGAGTCTCTTCCACACTTGAGCTTTTGAACCTCCACGAGAAAGTCCCAAATACTCAGCTGCATTCCAAAGAAGTTTGATCGGACTGTTGGGATAGACCTCATGGCCGTTGATCATCAAGACATCACGATCCTCCACTGCCACTTTCAAACTTTCCTCCTCATTGCCCCTGCCTGTGTCCGGTTGCTCCATCTCTTCTTGAGTCAAACCATCTTGTAGTTCTTGGGGCACACCTGGTTCTCCACGGAAAGCGAATTGGAAGTCAGGCTGTCCACTAGTTGTTTGCTCAACTGTATTGCCGTCACTTCGCGTCCGTTCTTCTCCAATGATCTCGCCCAAGACGTCTTCTTCCTCATTGGAATTGTGCAGAACTGTCAAAACATCACATGGTTCATCACATTCTGCAATCTGGCCTGTTCTATTCTCCAGCTCCATGTAGCGACTGCAAAACTCCACAATGAGCCAAGCATTGTCCTCACCTTGTCGTACCAACGTGCTCCTCAGCGGCCAAAACCTCCAACTAAAAAGGTAGGAAGGATCTTGAAAGGTGTCGCTGTTGGTCGAAATGGAAAAGGGTCGTCCACCATTGTCAAACCTCCAACCCTTCAGACCAACACGTTCCATCATCGAATCTGCGACCTTGACCACTGTCTGCACAAGGTAGAGCTCCTTGTCTTTCTCCTCAAGTTGAACATGCAGCGCTTTCTTAGGAATAGGAGTTGTAGTGGATTTCTTCAACTTCACTTGTCGAATGTGTCCATGAACTGCCAGAGAATTGCGCTTGTAGACAACAGGGATGATGCACTCTCCATCTGGTGAAGTTAACCCTGTTCGAGCTTCTGCTTGAGGAAGGTTGCGAAAGCTCCAACCCTTTTGAAAGAGCCTGCCCAAACTGATGAGTGGGCTTTGCACCGAAGCTACAATGAACTCATCGTTCACCAACACAACATCACCAGCTTCCGTCCACATCTCAATCTGTCCCATGCGTCTTCCATAGGACTTGACCACATTGCCCTGAGCATCTTCCAAGGCTGCCGCTGTCTGTTCCATCTCCTTGTCCTTACACAGCTCATATGGAAGAAGGCTAATGTCTGCTCCGGAGTCCAGGATCAACAGGTCGTTGCTGTTCACCATTCTCACATGCTCAACAGGTTTTGCTAGCCATTCATAGAATTTGTCCTGCTCTGGTTGGAACATCTCGTCGTCCAGGATGTAGGACACCACACGCACTGAGTACCACTCCTCCTCATCATTTTCATCCAGCTCAAAGAACTCTGGATAGTCCTCTGGGGGTGTTGCCACATGGTACATCTTCACCTGTCGAATTTGACCTTTGCCTCCAGCCTGGGAAGTCATTGTTGATGAAGTCGACTGGGACGGTTGCCTGAGATAGGTCACATTGATCTGACTTGCACTGTCAGGCAAATTGGTTGAAACTTCTGAAGTTCCATGGTGAACTGTTGAGGCTGCGTTCACCTGCATAGGCGCTTGACCATAGCGAGCGTGAGGGCATTCATTACCCCAATGACCATATTCTTGGCAAATTCGACATTGCGTTTTGCCTTTGCCCTTGTTTTTGCCTTTCTGTTTGCCCTTGTCTTTTCCTTTGTTCTTGCCTTTCGACTTGGTCTTGCCTTTAGCTTTGCCTCCTCGTCCACCTCCATAACCCCAAGGAAGCCATGATGAGCCTTTGCCCTTACCTTTGTCCTTTCCTTTCTTTCCTTTGCCTTTGAAGCCGACCTTGTCAATCTCCATGGGTTGCGGGCCTCCAGCTTGTGAACCACCAGGACCATTGTCCAGCTGCTGCGTGAAGGTCTTCAAGAAATTTTCGCTGTTCCATGTCTTGGTATTCTTGTCCAAGGTGATCAGCTTCTCCTTGAGGTCGGAGTAGGACATGTCGTCAGGCATGTTGTATTGTAGGTGCTTTCGTGTCACTGGATCAATGCATCTGAGCACTGTACCAACAATCAAATCTTCTGACATTGGTGATCCAGCTGCTATTGCATACTGTTCAAGCAAGGCATCAAAGGAAAGAAGATTCTCCAACATCGTCTTGGAAGTTGAAAAAGTGGGATGCTGCATCACTGCTTGCCCCAATGCTAAAGTCCGGGGTCTGGTTCTCGGCGCGTAGAGCTGCTTCAGCTTCTGCCATACTGCAAAACCATTCCTCGTAGAGGATTGACCTCTTACCAACTGTGCTGCTGGTCCTCTCAGGTAGGAAGACAGAATCGAGAAGAGCCGTTCTGCAAGCTCCTTTGTGCTGTCGGTCAAGTCGTTGCCAACATCCTCTGACATGCCCTCGACCATCTCCACCAATTTTCCATACCTGCTGTCACTGAACACCAACCAGTTGAGGAATTGCTCACGCCACAACATGAACTGCACTGGATCATCTGTTGAAAAGGTCTCAGGCTGCTTCAACACCTTTGAAGCTTCACCAAAGTTGCTCCTGGCCGTGCTCGATGAACTTGCTTCGAACCTTTGGATTGCATCTGCTGATGCTTTTGCTGCTGTGGTTGCAGCTGCCGACAACTCCATGACCTTGGTCAAAACCTCCTGAGTTGCTGCATCCATTGCACGAGCTTGTCCAAGAAGGGTCAACAAAAGAAGTCCATGTCGTTGCAATTTGCACCTCCACTTCACTGCCAAATCTCCTTTCCACCTGGGTGTCTTTCTTCTCCTTTGTCCTAGCCGGCCCAAGTGGCTCGAAGGTCGTCTTGTTGTTCTGCATCTCTTCAACTGAGCTGCCATCAAAGAAAGCAAAATGCCACCAAGGAAAAGTCCGCTCCACTTCATGAAGGTCACAAAGTGCCTGAACTCGTAGAGGAAGTCATGAGCCTCCTCATCCTCGAAGGTGCCATTGAAGGAGTCGAAGAGCTCCTTCGTGTTGAAGGTGTCACCATAGGGCGGTGCCAATCCACCTCTTTCCACCTGGTCAGTGGTACCAATCCACTGTTCTCTTCTTGAAGAGGTTCCAATCCCCTTCTCCATAGGATCACCAGATCCCCTCGAAGTCCCATGGGAATTTCCAAATCCCCAACCACCTTCTCTTCCTTCACCTTCTTCTCTTCCACCAGGGCGCCAATCCCTGTCCTCGTCCATCTCCTCCTGGGGCTTTGCGTCGGGCTCTCCAAGCACCTCCGCCTCGAATTTCGGCAGGTGCTTCGCGTGGATCATCTCGATGATGTCCACTCCATCCTCATGCGCCAGATGCGCACCATGCCATGGCGCCACGAGTAGGATCGCCCCCAGGAGCTCCGCTACCATGTTAGGCAGCTTCATCGCTCCTTTTCACTCATCGCTGAGCCACTGTGTTGCGGAGTCACACTGATAAGAACAGATACTGCTCTTACATCTTTACATGTATGTGTGCTCATGTACACTTCTTAAATATTCAACATCAACACTTTGATGAAAGCAAAAAATACTATGATGTATTGAAGAACACACACAAAAAATGAAAAATCAGCATACATCAGCAAGGTGTTTGGACACCACATGAGCTATCCCAAAGTCGAAACCCCCAAGATCTCCAGAAATCTATCACCAGGCCACCTGCAACTCCTTTTGCTACCAGTCGCTCTGGAGACG